GTATTTTTTTCAATTAAATATGATTTCAAAATCAAATTTATATATATAATACACTCACAAAATAAACAAGGTATTTTTCCTTCTTTTTTTTTTCACGCATATGAAAACAAAGTTTTAAAAGAATTTGATAGAATCCATATATTTAATGACAATAAAATAAAAATTTTCCATATTTGTTTAATAACTTCAGAATTTTTACTTCATTGAAAATGCATTCAGCAAAAAAATTTACTTAGTTTACAAGGTTTATTTCGTTGTCATTACTAAAGAAAATAAAGTAAAACCATCTTTTACTATTCATTTTACTATTTAAACACACTATCACACACTCACAAAATTACTATTCACACACTCACAAATCACTATTCATGTTACTTTTGTAACACTTTGGTCCTCAAATTTTTTAAACTTTTTTTTTTAATTTCAAACTTTAATTGTATTGCGATTTGATCCCATTTTATTTTAGTGTTTTTTGTTAATTATTTTTATTATTTAAAATTTACTACTTTAATTTGTCATTTTTTAAATTCTCTTTTTATTTTTTCAATTTCAAACTTTAATTTGTTAATTATTTTTATTATTTAAAATTTACTACTTTAATTTGTCATTTTTTTTAAATTCTCTCTGTTTTTTTTTTTCAATTTCAAAATTTAATTATATTGTGATTTTATCCCATTTTATTTTAGTGTTTTTGTTAATTATTTTTATTATTTAAAATTTACTATTTTAATTTGTTATCTTTTTTAAATTCTCATTCAATTAATTTAAAATTATATTTACTAATATTTTTTATTTATTTTTCTATATGTTGGGATTTTGTAATAAAATTTTGGAATATGCTTATTTTTTCTTTTGAAAAATAGATTTAGATTATTTTTAAATTATAGTAGCATGATTAATATATATAATTTATCTAAAATACATTTTTAGATTAAAAGTGTCTTTCAAATAATTTTTTCTTAGTTTTTTATATTATTTAAAATTTACTACATTAATTTTTTTTTTAATTGTCTTTTCTTTTTTTTTTTTCAATTTCAAACTTTGATTATATTGTGATTTCGTCTCATTGTTTTAGTATTTTTTGTTAATTATTTTTATTATTTTAAATTTATTACTTTAATTTGTCATTTTTTTTAAATTCTTATCTAATTAGTTTAAAATTATATTTACTGACAGTTTTGATTTATTTTTCTATATGTATGGATTTTGAAATAAATTTTTAGAACATGATTATTATTTTTTTGAAAAATAGATTTAGATACTTTTAAATTATAGTGGCATGATTAATATATATAATTTTTCTGAAATACATTTTTAGATTAAAAGTGTTTTTCAAATAATTTTTTCTCCTTTTTTATTATTTAAAATTTACTACATTAATTTGTCATTTTTTTTAAATTCTCTCTTTTTTTTTTAATTTTAAACTTTGATTATATTGTGATTTCATCCCATTTTGTTTTGGTATTTTTTGTTAATTATTTTTATTATTTAAAATTTACTATTTTAATATGTCATTTTTTTAAAAAAATTCTTATCCAATTAATCGAAAATTATATTTACTTACAGTTTTGATTTATTTTTCTATATATATGGATTTTGGAATAAATTTTTAGAACATAATTACTTTTTCTTTTGAAAAATAGATTTAGATAACTTTTAAATTATAGTGGCATGATTAATATATATAATTTATCTAAAATATATTTTTAGATTAAAAGTGTATTTTAAATAATTTTTTCACAATTTGTTTTTAGAAGAAAACTCAAATTAATTAATTAATAGTTGAAATTAAAATGTGAAAAAAAAAGATGGTTACTCCGTGCGTGAGACCTATTTAAAGACTAGCAATGCATAGTATAGAAATAAAAAAATATTTAAGAAGGGGGAAAAAAAAGAAAAAGAATTCACATGTTTTATTAATTTGTTTCTTCTTTATATAATCAAAATTATTCAAAATCAAATTTGTAATAATTTTTATTTTAGTCTATTAACTTCAAATTTAGTCAATATATTCCTTGCAAGTTAAGTTTTTATAGTATTTTTTGTTTTAGACTAAAAACTCTAAACTCGCTTAGTATAGTTATGATGCATAAAAAAATATTGAATCGTTGTTTTTTTTAGAAATTGATCGTGCAACTACTACTACACTAAGCATTTATTATTTATTTATTTGTTTTTGAATATTTTAAAATTAGCTTATTTTATTAAATAATTAAAATAATGTTTTGGCTTAACCACTCAATGATTCAAATTAATAGTTTTTTATTTTAATATTATTCATTCTTTTGTAAATAAATATATAAAAATTAAATTCATATTTTTTCAAAAACCGATGTTCTCATCAACATTAAATAAAAAAATTATTTATAAGCTTTTAATAATTGTTATTTATGTTTGTTGACACAATCTTATGAAGTAATAAATTTTTTTAAAAAAATTATTTAATTTTCTTTTTAGATAATAATCCATGGATTAACAAGGATGAATCCTTTTTCTAAAGGAAAAATTATGAAAAACACAAATAAAAAATAGTTAAATACAAAATTTTTGATTAAATAATTTTTTACATCTTTGATTTCATATATTTTTATAAATTCACACCATAAAATAGATTATCAAACTGAAATAATTTTTCTAAACGATTTTACATATTTTATTCAACTCTGCAGCGTAGCATGGACAAAAAAACTAGTATCAATACTTGTTTGATATAGCCTACTATGTTAAAAATATTTTGTATTAGTTGAAAAAAAGGAACAAATATACATGTGTTTTGGACGATTAAAAATCTCATTTTATACCATATCATATGAGTCAAAACATGCCAAAATTCTATAGACATTCTGCTAGCTCAATAATGATTTTTGAATTAAAAATTTTCATTACTTCACTCATAACATTGGTCACATTTAATCCAGCTTAATTATTTATAAATTTTATTTAATCTCATTATTTGATATTTATAAGATTAATCTATTAATTTGAATAATAACATTTTTTTCCTTTTTAAGTGATTATGAATATCTATAAAGTAATTTAGCAATATGTTTACCCGATATCAGATATTTATATAAGTATTTATAAATTATGCATTAATTTAATAACATTATACATGGTAAACATTTACTTGCTTAAGTGACTATGTGTTATATATAATTATTTTAAAATAAATAAAATTTGTTTTATATATTATAATAGTAATACAACTTACATTAAAGTTCTTTAAGTTGTTTAGAAATTTAAGATATTATCGAGATTGAATTATGTATCATTGATACTCTTATTAGTTTTCAATTAAATTATGGTTTCAAGTATTAGAAAAACTATCTCACATAAAATAAATATAAGAATGCAAAGTGATATAAAATATTGGAAATGGACCATCCATGGTAAAAGTATTATATAAGCCTTTGTGGATGTAAGCTGCTTACTTAGACTCTTGTTGTATTCCTCGTCGAAAAATATACCTCATTTTTATTCTCGAAAATTTTATTCTATATCACCACGCATATTGATTTTTTAATTAATTAATGTATTTATAATCTTTAATTTCACATAAAAAAATTTGTTTTAAAATTTAGGTTTGAACACATGGCATTTTATAATCATGTCATTTGGCTCTAAACTGACTATTATTTGTACTCAATTTAAGTAAAAAACAAACTGAAATCAAAGAAATATAGTTAAGCGACATCATAAATCAAAATAATTCAAATGGATATAGGACATGAATGGTTTGAGGTTTTAACTCACACAATGACAGGTTAGGAGTTGGTTTATATGGTAATTAGGAGTAGATTTTGGGATCAGAGAGATTTGCACCTCATTTGACTTTTTAAGTTTGAATCTAAGCCATCACCAATCAAAATTTATTTATCTAAATATACTAGATCGATATAGGATGCCTATTTTAAAAATAATTTAATGGTAATCAGGAGAATATTTAGTCAATCACAGGTCTCAAATTATGATTTTTTATAAGCATCTTGATGGCATACCTATGTCGAATTAGTCGACCCATATAATTTTTAAAAGTGGTTCAGATTGAAAAAAATATATATATATATCAAATCTAAATATATTTTTACAGAAATAAAAGTATTGTGTCATGAAAGACACAAGCAAGAATGCAAAAGTGCTTGGATCGAGTGGCTGACAAAACAAACATTTAAATAAAGTTATTTTTTTAAAAAAAATTGAATTTATTTGAAATCATTAAGTTAAAAAAAAAAAACAATTTGTGTTAGTTAATGAGAAATAGGATATAAAAGAAAAGAAAAGAAAAGGATAGGGAAATACAATCCCAACAAACCATAATAGTAGTAGTAGTAGTTACGGAGGCCATATCAATATCCATGTTTTGTCACACACATACGTACACAAACAAAGGAAAGGAGCAACCAACAACAACAGCAACAGCTTTAGCTGAAGTCATCTTACGTTAGCTGTCCTTCCTCTCCATTTTTAACGTTCCTCACTTTAATGCACTTAAATCTCTTCCTTCTCTCTCTTCCACTCTTTGAGTAAGAGAGAAACAAATAAACACACAAAACACCCCCCAGGGAAAAAAAAAACAAAAAAAAGCCAAAACTGTTGGGTTTCTTCTCTCGCATTCACACCTCCCCCTACCAAAAACCCTAACTTTCTTTCCTTTTTTCCTTTTTGTTCTCTCACTAAATAAAATATAAAAAATAAAACTAACAACTTTGATCACTCATTTCTCTTAACATTTTTCTTTCCATTTCTGCTTAATATTTATTATCACTGTCATAATTCATCATCATTCTTCAATGCCTCTCTATTTATAAGCTAATTATCTATCCATTCATTACCTTTTCCCATCTGATTTTGTCTGTCTCTTTCTTTTCACTGTTAGAAATAATAATAATAATAAAAAAAAAAAGTTCTTGTTAGATTTTCTGTTCTGTAGTTGTTGTTGATTTCCAATAAATAAATAAAGTTAAGGTTTTTCTGGTTTCTGGGTTTTTGAGTATCTATCCATGGCAGCGGTTGCTGAGATTACCAGTGAGGCTGCAGTGGCTGCCAACAACAGCAACGCCACCAACAGAAATGAAAACAACAATAATTCGGATTCAGAAACAAAGCCACCATCAGAATCTGAATTCACAGTTCAAAAGCTTGTGGATATGTTCACCAAGTTGAATCCTTTGGCTAAGGAGTTTTTTCCATCTTCTTATAATAAAAATAATCCAAACCAACTTCATCTCAACAATTTTGCAGTGCCTATTAAGCAATCAGCCAATGACAACTTCCCTAAAAGGGTACCCACTTTTTTGTCTCCGATCATTTCCATTTTGATCTTGAATTTCTGCTTTTTTATATGTTTTTAATAGCTTTTCAGCGCAACCTATTGTGTTTCGATTGGTGGGTTTTGGTCCTCTTTTTTTTTTTTTATTTATCAATGCGTTATTTGGGTTTTGTTTGTGTTGTTGACAAATGGGTTTTTGTGATTCTGTCCGATTTTGCAGTTTCCTATTTTTATTTTTATTGAAGATAACTGATAAAGTTACTGAGTTGGTGTGTTTTAGTCTCAATTAAAATTTGCTCTTTTTGAGGTTACATATCTATCTATCAAATTTTGAATTTTGATGACTGATCCATTTGTTTTCAGCTATGAAAATTATGCTGTTGATTTTCTAAAATTAGTACCAATTTGTTGTGATGTTAACATTGCATTGAATATCACAACTGCCATTATGATTCGATGATAACTGGAGTTTTTATGTTTTTGGATTTTTAAGGTTTTATTTTTTTAATCATTGATCAATATGATTCTAGCTGGGTATGATGCAAGGGCTTTGTTATGACAATCGTATCCTAAATTAAGTAGGTTGGTTGATTAGGGGAAAAAAAAGTTTCTGGAATTCGCATAGCCATCTCCATTTTAGCTCTCAATTCTCAGTTTCCATCTCTCCTATATTAATATATTGTAGTTCTTACCGTGTGTTATTCCTTCTTTATAATATTAAGTTGTAAGTTGTGAAGTGGGCTTCTCATTTGGTACTTTGTGTTTTTAAATATATATTGAGTCTTGCTTGGGCATTTACGTTCTTTACCATCTCTTAGATCCCTCTGTATGATTGCATGATTTTTAACCAATTAACATTAGTTTTAAGCTGCTCGGCCTTTCATCCACCTGGGATAGTTTTTTACCTCTTTTTTCTCAGCCTTTTTGTGTGTGTGTTTTTTGGAAGTTTTAAAATTTTGGCAATTTAACAAAGATTTATTTTTTGGAATCAATATGGCTATGCCACTGGAAAACTATGAGAGAAGCTGCTGTGACATGTCAGACTTTTTTATCTATTATTTTTCTTGGTTAAGCTTGCTGAAATTTTACTTGTGTTTTTTCCAGAGAAGAAATAACTTTAACCAGGGGAGGAGGAGGTTGAATGGGAGAACTTATAGAGCTCAACGAGAAGACAGTATTAGACGAACAGTATATGTTTCTGACATTGATCAGCAGGTATGTTTCTGAGTCCTATAGCAAAAATTTTATGTTATGATTTTTATAGCTATTGGTTTTGCTCTTCTATTCTGAGTTTAGAGAAACTGTTTCCCAATTTAGGTAACCGAAGAGCGGCTTGCTGGCTTATTTAGTGGTTGTGGACAAGTAAGTTACAATCCTCATTAATCAAATTGGTTTGTTTGGCAGTTTCTACAATAAGGATAATTCTAAATCTTGGTGATCCATATTAGTTCATGATAATTTGTATATTATGATGACTCCGTTTCACTTCAAAATGATCTTTTTTTTCCCTCTTAGCAAAGCAGATTTCATTCCCTTATTCATTACTTGTATTTGGTTCATCCTAAAGAATGAGAACTTAGAATATGTGCTAGCCCAATGTTTTGCTGGTATGCTGTCTGTTTTTCCTTTGATCAGTTGGTTTCTGCAGTTTTCGACGGTTTCTGATTATTATATTTCCTGTTTCTTAATACTATTGATTCATTCTAATAAACAAGGACGAAGGCATGCCAAAATTGCCAGATTTGGTGTCCTTACTTAGTTTCAGAAATTCCTAAGAGTTTTGTTCATTTGTTTTCAATAAGAATTTTTTTTCAATTCAAGTACCATCGCTACTTTTTCTGTAGACCATTACTTCTCTAGACGATACCACAAAAGTTCTATGGAATTCAAATGTAAAGTTTGCCTTGAGGTTGCCCTTGCTGTTTGGCATAAATTGCTGTTGGGAATTAAATCATAAGGAGCATTCTTTATGTAACCCAAATCTAGTTGAACCATACCATTTTGACCTCAACTCATGAGTGTTGCTGCATTTCCATCCTTCAATTGTCCAAACTTTATTAACATTTCTTCAAAGTTGAATGGGCTGCTTTCCTGCTCATATTTTGTTTATTAATTACCTTAATTGTGCACTTGTGTTTGCTCCTTGTTTTCTTTTTATCAAAAAATGCCAATAATATTTTGTATTGAACTTTGTTGGTGTCCTTAAAAAATTTCAAATTAGCTGTATTGCGTATCTAGTGAAATTCTATGTGAAGGAATGCATAAATGCAAACTAAGCTCTCTGATCGTAAATCTTGAATCACACTTATACTTTTGGGGTTCAGAGTCAATAATCTGTACTTTTTGTAATGTTGATTCAATGTATCTTTGATAAATTGATCTTTTAGGATTTGCAAAATCATTTGGTGTCCAGCAATGTATCCCACGATTGCATCATGTGGCAGAGAAGTTCCTCATACTCTGTGACTTTTTGATTTGGTGCTTAGCATTCTGGTTAGAAGATGCTTATAGAAGTCTTGTCAATTTTATTTTCATTAGGATAATGTCTTGTTTCTAGAGATTTAACTATGGATTATAATCTGATACTCATTTGAATTGAAATCCTAACAAATCATGATTGTGTTGAGATGAAATCAAGCTAGATATGGTAATGTGGTGATATTTTAATGTTCTAAGTTAAATTTTGGGTTTCGAGTAATGGTCTTGGCCAAAATCTTCTGTGCCAGCTGAGAAACGTATCTAATACTATCATATGAAAATGGAGGCCTTGCCAGCATAATATGACAAAAGGACACTTGGCTTCCCATTTTCATGTTTCGTCATTAGACTGTTCTGATGACGGTATGCTAAAATTATATTGTCTTAATAATGTTGTTTGGTTTTACCGTCAAGTAGTGTTGTCAAACTAACTTGCATGCATCAAATTTAGGTCTATCTCCCTGATCCAGTTAAAGGCAAACTATCTACACCAAAATTAGGAGATTCTTGCGAAATCACATCCTCGAGGCTTGACCCTAAGGAGCTGATAGGGTTTGAATAGTGTTAGCCAAACTAACACTACATTTTTTCTAAATGCAATTAGATGATCCATTAATGCAATTCAACAACACTGCCAAAATAGACAAATTACAGAAGTATAATGACAGTATGTGATAAATGAGTATCAACGCTAGGTTAGTCCCTTTTGAGCATTTCTTTTTATATTGGATTTACTTCTTTTTTCCTTTATTCTTTAGGTTTTTTCTTTCTTTTTTTTAAAAAAAAAAAAAAGAAAAGAAAAATTGAAGTATGCACAACTTATGGGAATAACCTTCCTTTCTTTTACTGATGACGGGAGCGAGTAGAATTTGATCAAGGTTCATGGAATGACTTTAACTTTACTATCTTAGCTCCTGTCAATCCTACTACTAATATTTAAGGGTCTCTCGGTTGGCGTATAAGCTGAAAGAAAAGAAAACAAGTTAGCTGGCACCCATGGTTAATTATCAGTTGGAAATAGTCATATTAGTTTTTATGCATTTGAGTACAATTTTTAATTAGAGTTATTTGTTACATTGTTTCTTGACCAATTCTATCTATTTGTATATTAACCGGTCATGCCAGATTCTTTAGAATTATTGATAATAGTTTCACGCATTGGTTACAATCTAGGGACTTGATAAAATTCAAGCTAGTTATGGTATTATGGTGTTGTGTTGACTGTTAAATTTATGTTTTCCTTCTTGATCTTGTAGTTTTCATAATTGATGCTATTTATGGAACTGGGCTCATGTGTTTCTGTTGGTGACATTTTTTTTCCTTCTCACCTTTATGAACTTATGCCATAGAGTTGCAGTTTATATCATCCATTCTAAATTGCTGGTTTTATTATATTTTAACGACTTTATGTTGCATAAGAGCTTGTGAAGTTTTTGTCTTCTCATAGTTTAAAAAATTTGTAGTATCAATGGATCTCTGCTATCATCTTCTATCATACAAATATAGTTTCCATAACAACATGATGGCAGGGAATTTTATTTCTTTCCAGAGGTTATAGGTGTATTATGTGCATATATAGATTTGCACGTATCACTTTGTGGTGAGTGTTTTGGTACTGTCTTGTGCTTCTTTATCTGTCAATTTGTGCCTTCACTTTTATGTGTTTTGTTTTCTTTTTCATCATTATACGTTGGGTCCATGCTATTACCAATTCTGGAAGTAGTATTCATGAGTGAATGTGAGATGGTTAAAAGTCCCCCTTTTATTCATTTAGCTCACATGCAAATTTAGGCCATGTTTTGAAGGATGTTTACAAGTCAGGTCCCACATTTACTTGGATTGAAGAATGAAAAAGTGACCAAAATTCTGCGCCTGAGCTATAAACAACCAGATAGCCTAGGATTATCAACCAATTGTGTAATAGATAATAACTGGTTGAAATTTCCTGTAACCCCTGAAGCAATGCAGTTTTTGTATGCTTGAATGCTTATTTTTTCACTACTTTCTTGGACTTGTTCATTAGAAGGTTTCTCTTTCATGAACTGTTCATTCACATTTTTTTTTTTAATTTACTTAAAGATTCACATTACAATTGTTAATTAGATTTATTGAGTCACTATCTATTGGTTCTTGGAGTTCTTGATATGTTTGGTTGTTTGCATGTAAATGGAGGCGAACCTGAAACATGGTTAAAAATCTGCAACTTGATAGAAGCTTGCAATTCCTAGGACTCATAACCAACCAGTGCTTGCTACCTAGTGGCTACACTGCAGCTCCTTGAATCCTTTATTCTGTATCTCGCTACAATTTCCCTCTCTATCAGATGTGTTTTATGGTATCTATAATTTTCACTATACCCTTTTGCTTTTGGCTTGAGACTTTGCCTTTATGGGCGTATCAAAGGGAAATGCATTACCTTGTCTTTTTTCTTTCAAGCTGTATGCCCTTTTTCATGGACATGATTTTAGCAATCTCATTAGCATGTACATGTTGGATTGAAGGTTGTTGACTGCCGGGTTTGTGGTGATCCACATTCAGTTCTTCGATTTGCATTTGTGGAGTTTGCTGATGAGCGTAAGTTAACAGCTGCCTGCAATCATTCATTATATATATATATATTGCTCAATCCAATATGTAATTATAAGTATTTCTTACATATGAATTTGGATTTGTTTCAACAGAAGGGGCAAGAGCAGCTTTAAACCTCGGAGGGACCATGCTAGGATACTATCCAGTCAGAGTGCTACCTTCAAAAACTGCTATCCTTCCAGTGAATCCTACATTCCTCCCTAGGGTATGAATGAATTCTATTTTGGCCTTTTTAATTTGTGTTAATTTCTGCATGATTGTGCTATTTTAGCGAGTACTTAAGGTTTGATGCTTGAGAGGTGACTTTCTTGACAATAGCAACATTTTAACTAAATGCAGTCTGAAGATGAACGGGAGATGTGCACCAGGACAGTCTATTGTACAAATATCGATAAAAAGGTATTTCCACCACCTTGCATTAAATAGATTGATGAACTTTTGAGTCCCTTGGCATTATGGGTTCATCTGTCTGCTGCACATTTTCCAGTGTACTGATATGCTTGCTGATTTAGTTCACAACTTTACTCTGCTTAATTTCTTCCAGCTAATGAAGTTCATTGTAAATGCAGGTTTCTCAAGCTGAAGTCAAGAATTTCTTTGAATCAATATGTGGCGAGGTGAGCATAGCACCAAAGCATCTCCACCCTCTCCCTTCAGACAAGTGGATGCTAAGAGTTCTTCATTGAGTGACCCCACTCTTTCTCTTGTCTTGTTTTATTGACAGGTTACCCGCTTGAGGCTTTTAGGGGATCATGTGCATTCAACTCGTATAGCATTTGTTGAATTTGCTATGGTAAGCTACAATGTTAATGTTATTGAAAATTATTGAAATTGTGATACGGTTTATGAAATTGATGGCTAGTCTGGTTACACACACACGGACACATGCACATACTCTTATGTGACAACAGCGCCCTACTGTAAGCATGTTTGGCTTTTAAATGTGCTGGTTCCTGCCTTATTAACTTTTTCTTTCATCTGTGTTGTTCACACACACACACACACATAACAATAGGTGACATCGTGTAAACATGTCTGGCTTTTATAGGCACTGGTTTGAATGAACTGCTGTTGGGTATTTTTTTCTTTTTAAAATGGATGAGTTTTGGGGGGTGGGAAGTTTGAAAGCTGTCTTGACAATTCTGATATTAATTTTCTCTTAAGGATTTTTGTTTTACCTATTTAAAGATATAAGTTCAGTCATTCCTCAACTCTGTAGTTAGACTTAATTTGGTGAGAATAAACCATTGTTATTAAAAAAGGGTTCATATACTTTTCCACATAATATGCAGCCCTGTCATACGATTTTACCTATGTAGTGTCCTATTAGGATTTTTTTTTCATGTCTAGTGATTTACTAGTTTCCAAAGTATTAGTGTTTGTAAGTGCAGTCTTGGCTCAATAACCATGAACTTGCTACAAAATTATTTAAAAGATCTTAACAGTATATGAAAGGTGATATTTTAAAAAGGTTAACTGTAGATTTAAATTTTAGTGAAACCCTCACCTCCTTATTTTTTTTCCTCACTGTTTAACACTACCTTGCCTCCATTTACACCTTCCACCAACCTTTCTCACTATTCTGAATTGCTGTGTATCCTTTCTTTGCTTGTCATAAGTTCCTTCTTTTAGGAGCCTCTCTCTCTCTCTCTCTCTCTCTCTCTCCCCACTACAATAACCATGAATATTGAACTCTGAATGTTAAATCTTATTGAACTAGACTAACTAAAAGTCTAAATTTTATAAATTCTCTCTCATTTCCTCTCGTGCTTTTCTTACACCTCCTTCCTCCATTCACTTTGTGAACAAATACCTTCACCAACCTTTTTCTCTCTATTGTGAATTGCTGTTGTGCTGCTTATCCTTTCTTTGCTTGTCATATGTTCGTTATTGTAAGTTCAACCTGTGTTTGTATGTGTGCGGCATGTTCATATGCTCAAGGTGCATTTTCTTTCAGGCTTTTCTTTGTTTGTATAGAAGAAAATTAAATTAATAGACAATGCATTTGTTGGGTGAGTTATATACTATTATCATGTTTGTCTTTGTTCCTTATCTAAAATTTCTTGTCTGTGTTCTCAATTGAAAGAGAGATGCTTTCTAATTTGACAGTTTTAAGATGAGTAGGACTGGAATTCTCGAAAAAGAAAAATGAGTAGGAATAGAATTCAGCATATGGTGCATAATTGATTTTAGTTAATCATGCAAACAACTGCCATTCCTTTCTATTGGATTCTCTCTCTTTTCTGATTCTTTTGGTTTTGTAAACAGGCAGAAAGTGCCATTGTTGCACTGAATTGTAGTGGGATGGTCCTGGCATCCCAGCCTGTCAGGTATATAGTCACTGAACTTGAATTGAATTTTGTTTTCAAGGATTTGAACTGAGCTAATGCCAATGTATCTTGAATGTTCTAATTTTTTTAGGGTAAGTCCTTCAAAAACACCAGTCAGGCCGCGAGTTAGTCGCCCAACATTGCATTAACTAATCATCAGAGTCTAAGACCCTTAGATGGAACTCAGTGATTTCCTAGTTGAGAGAAACTCTGTTGTGCTGAAGGGATGATGAAACTCTCTTGTTTCAGTGTTTCCATCTTTTCCATCGCAACTGAAAACTTTTAATGTGACTGAAACATATTGTTGCCTGCTTCAAAGTGAAGTTTTTACAAGACTGTCTCAGTCTCCGAGAATTTTTCACCTGAATTCCTCCCCTTTGTTTAAACCATTTCATCTGTTGAAATTGTTGATTGTAGTTTTAATTAAATCTGTTATGATTGCAGTTAAAGACGCATATAAATTCGGCAATCAATTTCTTTTACAAAATTTCTAGTGCAATTTGCAGCAGAAATTTGGTGTACTATCCTTGTAGTTGTAGTTGTGGAGGGCATTAGCTCAGAGAAAGTTACAGATGATTTGATGGGATGTGAAATGGGGAAATTGGCTATTGGTGAAGATTAGGCTGTGTTTGAAGGTTGTGCTTTAGAGAAGTAAACAAATAAATACCTAAGGATCATGTAGGAGAATGGAAAAACAAATCTAGAATCACACTTTCGGCTCCTAAAAGTCACTCTTGGAGACTCTAGGCATCACAAATCCAGCCTTGATGGTTGAAAATCTGAAATTCATTTACTAAGCTGTATATTCTCAAGTTGGGGTTAAATCAATATAGGGTATTTAGGAAGTGAGGAGGTGCCCAAAAAACAGATTGTGCTAGTCGGTAAGTCACGTAATGTGGAAGATGGCTGGTCAACTTTTCAAAATTAGAAAATAACAAAACTGCCTCTGGCAATTAGACCATCAAAATCTTGCTCTATAAATATCCAAAGCAGTTACTCTATATCAGTTTTTATTGGAGCTGACATGCTTGTTATGGCATAAGGTTTCCCTGTTCAAACTTTTCGTGTGTTATTTTGCATCATCTCTCTACATCGAGAAAACTCGACTTTAGCGAGTTAAATGACTTGTATTTTTCATAAAGATCACGATCGAGGCGTTGGAACTCTTCATCAAAATCCAAGTACAGTTGGATAAGGGTATGTCCTTTCATTTTACCAAATATTATTTTTAAAGCCACCCATACGAGCTGGAACGATACTATCGTCTACAATGTATTCAATCTTGTCTTCACACTGATGAGACTTCTAAGAGCTACCCTGGTCTGGTACAAATCAACGATAATAGAGTTAGTGAAGATATGACTGCGAAAGATGTAGCAACTGAAGAACATACTCAAAATAAAGGGACAACACCTGCAGAGGAAAGTTAAGTAGCGGCGAAGACTGTGCAGGGACAGCCGTGCCTGTTAGGGACTGACGGTAATAGCGAGAAGTCAAGAAGAGACGATGATCGGATTTAGCAGCAATATGATAATAAATAACAGGATTCTCATGCAGGCTAGAGTACGTTGAAGGACGTTAATACTTCTAACCAGTTTACGATTTTGATGTCATTGGTAGACGACGCTGTAGTGTGCGGGGAAGAATCGAGGGCTTGGCAAGGTTCTTTATAAGATGATAACGAGTAGTATAAAATAGGTAAATCAGAGGCTACGTACGCAGAAGGAAATTAATGACTGGTCTGAACAAGCAGGAGGTTAATATGGACCAGGTTCAAAATCCAGCTTTTAAGCGAAGTACGAGGGCAGCTTCCAGAGCACAATCCAAGTATGTTTCATCTCATCAATAATGTCTGTCCTAATATGGAATGCTCGTGGCGTAGGTAACAAGGCCACTACTAATTTCATCAATCTTCTTAAATCTCAACACAAACCAATATTGTTGGTGATTTTAGAACTTAAACTGGAAGTGAGTGAAATAGAAAATATTGCAAAAAAGATAAAATTCTCTTCTTTTATGCACCAAAACCCTATTGACAACAATATTTGGATTTTTTTTTTTGGAATAACTTGGTGGATTTACATTGTATGGAAGTTGGTAATCAACACTTCTCTGTTATGATTAAATATTTGGACTGACCAAATGTGTTGTGCCCTTTTGTCGAAAAAGTAGGAGGTACGGGCTATGACCTTCAAAGCATGTTAGATTTTAATGATTGTTGTAGAGAGATTGGGGTGGATGATGCTGGTTTTAATGGTAGTATATTCACCTGGCGTAATAATCAAGCAGCTGAGGCGAGAATTTGGCTACGGATAGATAGAATTTTAGTAAATGGTTGTTTTAAGGTGGCACTACCTCCCCTAACAGTAGAGCATCTTTCTAGAATTAATTCGGACCATTCTTCCCTCTTGCTTTATTGTAAATAATAAAAAAACCTAAAAGAACTGATGTTTTTACTGTTCATGTACTGTAGCACTTTTCTTTTTTTTTTTGGGGGGGGGATTAAACGCTTGTCACCTTGGTTGCCTGGCGCACTGGCCTGCACTCCCAGGCCCAAGCGCGGCCTTCCCTGCCAGCTCTCGCCTGCACTCTATATATATATATATAGAAAGAAAAAAGAGGCCAGGCTCGTGCCTGGTTGCCCTGTGCGAGCCCGGCCTCTTTGTGTTTTTATTTCTCCCTCTGCATGTGTGTGTTATTATAAAATTAGTTGTGAAAAATATAAAAATTAAATTATTATTTTTTCAATTTTACATACAGTTTGAAGATGATAAAATATTATAAAAGAATTAAAAGAACTAAGGGTCAGATTGTTCATTTACTGTAGTAGTCCCACCCCCAATTCTTTTAGTGACTGTAGTCCCACCCCAAGTCCCTCCATTTTTTCTTTTTAAACATCTGGCCTCCTTTTTTTTTTTTTTTTTTTTTTTGGGTTGGGCTGTTGGAACCTCACTGTAGCATTTGTTTTCAGTTTTTATATTTGTAGGACTATTATTACATGGTCAAATATATTATTTAAGTCCTTATTTATTAGAAATATATTTTTAAAAAAATAATAAAATTATTTATAGTTAATAATTATAATATATTATCATTATATTTTACAAAAAATGTCAAATAATTATTATAAAATAGTTATTTGTATTTTGATTGTGAATATTGTATTTATTATACAATATACTATTTATTATTATTTTAAATTACGATATAAATAATATATTAATATATTATTTTATGAATTTGAATATATATAAAAATTGATAAGTATTTTAGTAATATAATATATTTGATAATTATACCATATAATTAAATTAATATTACATTATTATTAGTTAAATATTATTTTAAATATATTGGTATAATAATATAATATTTATTAATAAATGATTTATTTAAATATCAGATGAAAATTGTTCTCATTCTTATATAAATAATTTATTTTTATATTTTTTATCATGAAATTAGGTATGAAAAAATAAAAAAAAGATCGTTATTTTTTTTATTTTATTTACGAGTTTGACGGTAATAAAATATATATAAAGTTTTTTAATTTTTTTTAACATATATATCTTATTATATTACTTTTATTATTTAAAATTTATTTCTTCAATTGTTTGTTTCTTATTAAAATTCTCATCAAATTAATTTTTAAATTTTATATAATTTTATTTGTTAATAATTTTATTTTTTTTATATATGGCTTTTGAAATAAAATTTTAGAACATAATTGCTTTATTTTTTAAAATATATTATTATAACTTATACGGTTGATTATTTTTATGATTTTTCAATGAAAATGGCATTGATGCATATATAAATTTTGATGAGAAAGAGAGAGCTAAAAGTGTGTTTCGGATAATTTGACTTAATTTTTTTAAAAAATAATAATCGATTAAAAAAATAATTTGGCTTGGTTTTTTTTTTAAATTAATAATTAGTTAAAAAATTTAGAGGTATTATGTGGTTATATATATATATATAATCAAAATTTATCAAAAGCAATTTTATAGTAATTTTTATTTAAATCTATTTACTTCGATATATTCCATGCGATTTAGGTGGGTTTTTTATTTATTTTAATTATATTTGTACACATAATACCAATTATTTGTTTTTTTTTTCATGTTCTAAAATATTTATTTTTAAATAAAATAATTTAATTAATTTTTTCAAAGAACCTCTTAATTATTCAAATACAAATTTTTATACTAATATTATAAATTATTTTATTAATAAATATATATAAATCAAATAAGTTCGTTGAATATATAGATTCGATTTACATTAATCTTTAGAAACAAAACATTTACTCGCATCATACCGTATGAATCGTTAACCCCGTATAGATAATGGTTGTCGTACCGCAACGATAACGCGGGTATCTAATTAGTTTTACTCGAAATAAATTGGGACATTCAACCTTTAAATTCCACCGTATGTGGTTGGACCATCCGAAGTATGGAATGAATTTTTCGGGGTCTTCCGCTAGTAGTCATTTAACAAAAATTGAGGCACACTCAACGTCGGTTGAAAGCTTGAAATTAGAATGTACTTGGCAATATTAAAAGAAAGATGGAGGCTACTCAAGATGACATTAATCGACTAGATAATAATTTGACTCGGAATTAGAGTGACCAAACGAGCTTCGGAATTGAATGTCATCATAAATCATTTGAATCAATTGGTAAAATGGGAGGTAGAGATGCTACCACATAAAGGCTGAATTAAATAGATTCATGATGGGAAAGGAACGCAACTTACTTCTATGCTTGTATCACGCTAAACAAATGATATTCCTACTATAGGAAATATTACGATTGAATTCATTTAAAAGCCTTTCACTATGGATTCTTTTGAACCGCATGAATCTTTTTTTTTTTTCGGGTATAGAGAAAAAACAAATAACAAAAGCTTAAAATGCGTATCTTACCCGTCTACCATCAAATAAGAAGATTTGGGAAGCGATTGAAGATCTTAATCCTTATAGTGCACCGTGTAGAGATGGCGTTATGGGTCACTTTTTTCAAGGAGCTTGGAGATTGTTAAATCATATGTTATCCTTGTTATCTAGGATTTCTTTAAAGGTGGTAATCTACCTCAAGGTATTTCGACGACCTCCACCTTGGTGCCAATCCTAAACGTTTCAAATCCTATTTTCCTGAATGAACTTTGCCCCGTTAGTCTATCTAATTTTGTATACAAGATTATTTTCAAGATTCTTACTAGCCGTTTGGCTCGAGTTCTCCCACATATTATTTCTTTAGAGCGAGTTTGGTTTTGTTAGAGGGAGAAGTTGTTGAAAATGGCACTCGATCTTTATATATATATATATATATATATATATATATATATCTTCTCTTTACAAGGTTATGCTTTTATAGCATATACACATGTACATAATTTAGGAAAGTAATAACTATTTACATAAGGCTTGGCCGAGATGATGGGATTTCATATTTTGTGGAGATAATTGATTCCGATCCACAATTTCTATAGTAACTCCGGATGACAACTCACGCCAATACTTTCCCTCAAGTTGGTGCATAGATGTCTCTAATGCCCAACTTTTCTAGTGAGCCATGGAACACCTTGCCCGAAATAGCCTTTGTAAAAATATCTACCAACTTTTCTTCTAACTTCACGAATGAGAATTGAACTAACTTTGCCTCAAGCTTTTCTTTGATAAAATATCGATCTATTTCTCGCATGTTTTGTCCTATCCCGTTGAACTCGGATTTTGTGCAATTTCTATAGCTGCATTGTTATCACAGAACAACATCATCATTTGTCCACACCGTAGTCAATTTCTTTTAACAACTCTTTTAACCAAAGGATTTCACACAATCCTTTAGCCATGCCACGAAACTCGACCTCTACACTAGATAATGCAACAACTTTCCGCTTCTTACTTCTCCGAGTGCCTAAGTTGTCACCAACAAAAGTGATGTACCTAGATGTAGATCTTCTATCGCTTATGCTTTCGGCCTAATCCGCATCGATATAACCATCAATATTTAGGTGATTACATTTCCTAAACATTAGCCCTTTTCCCGGAGATGTTTTCAAATATCATAGAATTTGGAGTACTACTTTCATATGGTCTTCACATGGATTATGCATAAACTAACTCATTAAACTCAAGACATAGGCAATATTTGACCATATGTGAGATAAATAAATCAACTTTTCCATCATTCGTTGGTATCTTTCTCTATTGGTAGGTATCCGACTTGGATGTTCTCCTAGTCCATGGTTTTGGACTATTAGCATGCCCGTAGGTTTACGGTTAAGTATGTATGTTTCTGCTAACAAGTCAAGCACATTTTTTCTTTGGGAAAGAAATATCCCTTTATTTTATCAAGCCACCTCGATTCTCGTAAAGTATTTTAGTCCACCAAGATTTTTCATTTCAAACTCAATCGCTAGGTGC